AAGTGGTTTATTTAAAAGTAGTCCTGATAGTTAAATTGTATTAGCACTAGTTGACGAATAAAAAAAAAACTAACTTGATTGGTGAATTTACAAACAATAAAACAAATTTAAAAAGGCCGCAAGAATTATCTGCGCAGGTTGGGAAAAACTGCGCGCCATCGGCGTTACGATTGATTGTCGTTAAACAAAGGCTTCCTCCTTTTTATTAACTACCAAACCAACTAATTTAACCTAGCTACTTACCACGTGGTTACATTCACAAAAACACACCCACACTGATCCTTCGCCATGCTGCCCTCTGTCTACCAAGCCGACCACCGCCCTCTAACTAAAACATGCAGAACTATCCCCAAAAGCTAACATGCATATATGGTTGTCTATGTTTAACGATTTTTTGATTGATTTTTTTTCTTTCAAATTCAAATTATTCAAATGTGATTTCGCGCCGCTGTTAATTAAATTCAGCGCGACAATTTGATTCAAATTCGGTCACCACAACCTGAAAGATGATTTACGACAGGGTTATGTACACTAGGACCAGAAGACTGGAAGTAATCAATATTACAGTGCTATAAACACGGAATAACACAGCAAGACACGGAATGCTATAGGTATGGGTGCCAGGGACATCTCAAACGGGATTGTCGTGCTCAGTCACCAGTTCCAAGAAAAAGCAGACAACAGAGATCTTACCGAATTATAAAAGAAGTCGGTACTCTGAGTAATAGGTTCGCTGGTGAGAATAAGGCCGCCAGCGAAGTGAAAATAAGAAGTTTCAGCAGCAATCACCTTCGATACTGGCAGTGAGGTATCAATTGTGCGTAAAGGACTCGTGAGAGCTGAAGATATAGAAGCTATACCCGAAACAAGCAGATTGAAAACTGTAACTGGGGAGTCGACGCCGATCATGTGCGAAGCATCGGTAGAGATCTGTATTGGTCAGCTGAAAATAAGACATCGGGTTCTTGTGGCTAGCATGGAATGGATTTGATTATCCGCCATGGATTGACAATTGATCCAGTGAGGGAAGTCATACGTCTTGAAAATAAAGAGTTCAAGCTGAATCAACGTTGTATTGGAGCGAAGCCCGAAAGTAGAACGCATGTCACTATGCGGTTGGTGGTTCCGGCCACCAGAATCAAGGAAGTACTTCGAGAGATGCACAATAGGAGTCCTGGTGCTCATTTTGGAATCACCAAGACGCTTTCCAAAATTAGGGAGCGATTCTACTGCCAGCAAGGCGTCGCGAGCTGATCTAAGAACTGTAGGACCTGTGCGATGGTTAAAGCACCGAAGATTAAGGCCACAGGGTCGATACAGTCACACAACATCGGTTCGCCTTTTAGAAGAACCGCAGGAGACGTAGTGGATCCCCTCCCATTGACCGAAGAAGGAATGGTTGTTGCCGAAGTTGTCATCAGACGGAGATGGTCCCTATATGGCCTATAAAGGTAATGACGTAACTTCGCCTCAGGAAATTGTTAATAGCTTTGGAGCATATTTCAGTTCTGTATTTGTTAGTAATACTGTCTGTGATAACATCTCTAACTGTGATACCAACTGTGATATTTCTACCGTTCTTCATAATTTTGTGATAAACAAATGTGATATTTTATGTGCCATCAAAAAGTTAAAAGCAAATTTTACCATGGGACCAGACAACATTCCGGCATTTTTTGTAAAAGATTGCGCCACATGTCTTATTGAGCCATTATGCTTTATATACAATTTGATTATACGCAAAGCTACATTTCCCAACGTCTGGAAGAGTGCAAAAGTGATTCCTGTCTTCAAATCTGGACAAAGAAATAATATCGAAAATTACAGGCCCATCGCAATAATATGTAACTTTGCTAAGTCATTTGAATCTGTACTGGCCAAAACCTTGTATAGTCATATGTCTAGTAAAATTAATACTAATCAACATGGTTTTGTACAACGTAAATCGACCACCACAAATCTCTGCGAATTTGTTCAGTTTGTATCGAATGCTTTAGAATCTCGAATGCAAGTGGACGTGGTTTACACAGACCTTTCTAAAGCATTCGATGTTGTTAACCATTCTATTTTGTTAAACAAATTAAGTTCTGCTGGTGTATGTGATAATCTAGTTAAACTTTTTAAATCGCTATTAACTAATCGTATCCAGTATGTTGAGTTTTGTGGCTACTGCAGGGCCGGCTTAACACGGTAAGCGAAAGATGCACCGCATCGGGGCGCCCATAACAAGGGGCGCCGGGCGGCGGGCGCCGCCTATGCTTTTGTGTTAACTCCATAGAAATAAATTAATAGGAGTATTAGATTTGCATTGACTCACTGCGTACAAAATATTATAGCCGGAACAGACAAAGGCGCCCATCGAAAACTTTTCAGAAAAAAAATACATTTTAACATTCCACCATGGGGAGTGGTTCACCAAAATAGGTCATAAGAAGTCAATTCCTGGCACTTTCTGACTGTAATAATTGAAAAAGAGTGTGCTTTTGGGTTGGGTGATTGGACCTTTAGATCAATACCGACAAAAAATACCGGATTTATGATTGCCATTATCTGGGTAACAATTTGACGAGACAGCGGTATGACCAAAACCAGATGTTTTTCTAACATTTGTCACGTTTGTTTGTACCATAAAACTCCTTGTCGGCACAAACTTAAAAATTTTATTTTCCAAGTCTATTCGGCTGGTTGTGGTGGTTGTTCAGTTTTATTATATTTTTCACTGTTCTGATTCGTAGTCGAATTTGGTTAAATTTTAATTTCGAATAACATTGAGGTAAGTCTAAATTAAAAATAACTTTGAAATCGTATCAATTTTACAATATTAAAAATTGAAAAATTTTTGTAATATAAAGATTTTTATACTTATACTAGAAGAGTTGTTGCTCGTTTGTGTGGGTTTGGACACATCATTTTTCGTCCCATTCGCCCCCCGTCTAACTTAAAAACTCACGAGATTCCTAGATAAATCTTCATCTCCTATTTTGTCCCATTGGGGCGGAATTTCCAAAAATCCTTCCTCAATGGGTGCTTATGACACAAAAGGAACCTACTGTCCAAATTTCATGTTTGTAGTTGCAGTAGTTCAGGCTTTCCATGCGTTGATGAATCAGTTAGTCTATCAGTCAGGACAAACACTTTTATATATTAAAATTGATTCATCATAATTTTATGTATGTTTGTTAATTAAAAGTATCTCTCTACAAAAATATATGTTTTTTTTTACAAACAATTTTTAAAGGGCGTTGAACAGTAAGTTGCATCGGGGCGCCTGGTCCCTTAGAGCCGGCCCTGGGCTACTGTTCGGATGCATATGGTACTTCTAGTGGTGTAACACAGGGGTCCAACCTAGGACCCATGTTATTTTTAATATATTTTAATGATATATTAGCACAATTTAAATGTCCGATTTTTGTTTATGCTGATGATTTAAAAATCGCAAAATACGTGTCTAGCACAGAGGATTGTCGTTTGTTACAGAATGATTTAAACAACTTTAGTAAATTGTGCACGCTAAACAAACTAAAGATAAATGAAAATAAATGCAAAACAATAACATTTTCCAGATTAATGACCAATATTAATTTTAATTATACATTGAATGATATTCAAATTGAGCGAGTTAGCCAAATAAAAGACGTGGGTGTTATACTGGATCATCATTTGTCATTTGTCATTTATTCCTCACATTCAATATATTTGTGGACACGCTATAAAAATGTTAGGATTTATTTTTAGAAACACAAGTAGTTTTACAAATGTAGATGCTTTGCTAACGTTATATTTCGCATATGTCAGAACAAAATTAGAATATGCTTCTGTAGTGTGGGACCCGTACTATAGCATCCATATTATGGCAATCGAACGCATACAACGTAGATTCTGCAAATACTTATATTATGTAAAATATTATACTTATCCTCCACGATCATTCCCTAACAAAATGTTATTAAGTGATTTTAATTTGCTGTCGCTCAAAGAAAGAAGGACGTTCGCCAAGATTTACTTTTTATTTAAATTAATACATGGGTACACTGTTAGCAAAAACTTACTTAGTCAAATAAATTTTCATGTTCCACGATTAAATTGTCGGTATTCAGGCACTTTCATGATAAATTGTAGTAGGACCAACCAACATTATTTTTCGCCATTGAACAACATGTGTCGTTGCTATAATGATGTAGCCCCAATTGTAGATATTTTTGTTACTTCTAGTATTAAGTCTTTTCGTGTTTTGTTGTATAGGAGTGATTAAGTCATAGTTATGTTTTTTTTTCTTTTTAACTCTATTTAGTGTTAGTAATTAATTAATTTGTGAGTTTATATTTATCCTTTTGGACCTTCGTCTGTTGGATAATAAAATTATTATTATTATTATTATTATTATACTGTCCCGACGAGGATCAATGATGTCGTCTACAGGATTCGACGAGGGTCGAAGAGGAAAATGAAGATTGTTCACTTAGGCCGTCTCATGGAGTACAACGGTGTTACTGTCGCTCGTTTCTGATCGGAACGATCAGAACTAAGGAGGGGGCAATGTTACGAAATAAACCCATCCGTCGCCCAGGTACGACGCCTATGGGTCGTCTAGTATGTATGTGTTTCGTCTAGTATGTAGTATAACTCATCGTCCGGGCAACGCAGCGTTCGTTAAAGGAAAGCCTGGAAGGGGATGTCGCGACGGACCCAGAAAACCCTCGAAGCATCGACAAGAACGTATCGGTTTAAATAGAGGTCACCGTCGGGAACGATTATTATTCAGCCAGTTGAGTGAAAAGAGTCCAATGAAGTTGCGCCGGAATTATTTTGTACAAAATGACTGTAACCACCTATCAACGTAACAGTATTGTATAATAAAAGTAAAAATTTACTCGTGTGTTCTTTATTATAGTCGTTTTACATTTATTGTGTAACTACTTACATCAAATTCGACTAATGAAACAAACTAATTTATTATTGAATCAATTCAATCGTTGGAGTAACTGATGGCTGTGAAAGTGTCAGGTGTTCCTGTAGCGCAGGCGTTGCCAAAAACACACGACTCCTGTTAACTTATCCTCACAGATTAAAGGTCCTCCTGAATCCCCGTGACACGTCGCGTTTCCTTTGCTCTTGGTGCAAATTAGACGTGGATAATACCCTTTTTTCCATGCTTCTTGGCACTTTTCCGGTTTTACAGGTTGCACCGCCGCAGTTTTAAATATATTCGATGGGCGTCCGCTTTTTGAAGTTCCACCCCAGCCCATTTCGTAGCACGGATTTTCGTAGTCGGAGAAATTGGTTTGCATTCTAGCAGGAAACGAAGAATTGTAACTCGTTTCTTTCTCTATTTGCAGTACAGCTATGTCATTTCTGAGCCACTTGTTGTCGTAGTCTGGGTGCACATGTGTGAATGTTACTTTGGCACTGGTTCCATCTGGAAATTATTACTGGAGTTAGCAAGATCCCTATTTGATGACATTAGCTCAAAATTTTATATGGTAAATGCTATTCACATTTTATAAAATAACATACTTGGGGGTACTTGTGGTGTATGAAACCGCCTTCATTATTTACCGTAGACACCCAGATTTTCGCAAAAAAATTAAGTTGTACGGCTCTAGGGCATAACTTCAAGTTGTTTTTAGACAACTGCAAACTAAATTTGCCAGTTAGCACCACCAAAATTAAAAAATTATACAAATATGACACATCAGTGAATTTAAAAGAAAATACTCTTTCTAGTTTACTTTATATAACCATTTATAGACCAGGAAAAAGCTTAGGAAGTCCTGAGATATTCTCCAAAAGGAATTAAAAAAATATATTTGACATTGAATGAATTTCAGCCACTACTTAGGTTAAGAATAAAAAAAAATGCATATTACTCGTATACACTTTAAAACAAGTTTAACGATTTTCTTATCATTCGACTAGTTTTTTACTTATGCTTTATTCTGTGCATTTCTGTTTCTAATTAAGATAAAAACATTTACCCACTGAAGTTTATTCATGGACATAGATAAGTCACCAAGGTTAAAAAAATAAGTAAGTTAAATTGTAAATTTTTATTTTTTCACATTAACCTTTGACGTTCAAAAAGCAAATTAAACCACAAATAAAGACGCATGCCCTTCTCATACGAGGTATGTAATTAACTCTACTCAAACATTTGGCAGATGATGTCACCATAATTTGTGACGTCACCTCAAAATTTACTCCTCTACTAGTGGTATATGGATCTACCTCGAAAAAATAAAATTCGATTTTCAAACAGATATGACATAAATTTAGTATAAAAATTCATGCTATTTTTTTATTTTAATTTATCTGTTCTTCCCCGCCAACTATTTAATAGCGTAATTAAAATTATTTGCGGGAATTAACAGAATATTTTGTTCAAGGCTTATTAATAATTTTAGTCATCTCTTCTGAGATGATGTCTACGTAACATTCTTCCGAAGTACATATAAACATAAACATTTTAAGCGCTACGCATATTGCTGAAACCACTTTTCCTACGGGTAAATATATGTTATAATGTCCGTACCACGGTGTATAATAAGTTGGGTGTTACGACGAAGCGTATTCACCGTGCATCGACTTGACGCCGGTTTAGTCACGATGAGCGGTCGAGAGAGAGAGACAGCGGCGGCCTGTAACCTCTCACTTAGATCTGTTTAGCGGGCTTTTTCCCTCTCTAGGTGTGTCAGATTTTGCTAGGTTTTCTCTGCGATTTCTTACTTGTTTTTTGATTTATCAATAAAAATGGGTAGAAAATGTGTCGTGCCTAATTGTTCTAGCGGATACAATGGTAATCCCGAAAAAGTGTCGGTGTTTCGGGTACCTAAAGACAGATTACTGGAATGGCACTTTTATTGCAGTAGTGAACTGCTGCTTTTGAACAACACTTTGCACTAAAAAATAATGGTCGTCGCTATAGTAATAGTAGGCATTTTATGTTGAATTTTATTTTTACTTAAAACAATTACATACTCCCTTTTTATCGGTTATGTGTTGTGTTTTAACATTCAAGAAACAGAATTTATGTTTATTTTCAGAGGGTTTTTGAATGCGATATGTATTTTTTCTTTATTCCACATAAACTATACTTTTTGCAGAGATTTTTCGGCACAATTCGACAAGCAGGTTGTGCCAATGGACATCCCTTATCTATAACTCTTTGCAGCTATACCGAATGTTATCGGTTTATAAATTATTAAAACCTCCGAAATTTGGTAATTGCACACAGATGCAGGAAAATAGTAATGCAAATCATTCGTTATCATTTAATGACTCCAAAAATATTTTTGAAACAAATACCAGAATGCGGGAAAAATCATCTTGAGAAAATAAAAAGGAAAATTGAATATATTTTAGATACAGATTCACCGATTAACGAAATAGACGAACAACTATTTGAAGATGTCACTACAACTAAAATTGTTGACAACATCATTTATTACTTAGCTGGATTTGTCGCAAAAAAAAAATTGTACAATACTTCAAAATGTAATATTTGCCGTGAACAGTTATATAAGTTATATAACAAAGAAGATCCATGTTCTAGTACATCTGAATTTACTAGTACAAAATCCAGGGGGTGGTTAAACCATCCAGATTTGTTAATGTTTAATATGTTCCGATGGGTGGAAGGGATACTTATGAAATATATCGATTTTGTGGATGTATTCGATGCAACAATTGAAGAGCTATTCGCAACAAAAATTTTTATGACTATTTACTTTCCTTTTTCTTGTGAAGAGCATAGAATGGAAATATTTTCAAAGGCAATATATTTTTACACAATTATGCAAATTAAACAATTTTATAAACAGGAACAAGAGAAAACAACCAAGACATGTGCAGAAAAAAGAAAAGAGTCTCGATTACAAACTACGTAATAATGGTAAATTTTTATTTCTCAAACAGTAAAGCAGATAATGGTTAATGGATATTTTTTAGTTGTCTTGTGAAACGAACAGAAGTGAGTGAAACTAATATAATATGTGAAGGCGAAAAGAACAATCTTTAACAACGAGTTTACATTCATCTTTTTAAATAAATTATTATTTTAAAAATGTTGAAAGTTTTTATTTTAATACAACGGATAATTAATTTTGATGATTTTTGGATCTAAATGGATTTAATTCCAACAAATACTTCTCCCGTCTCTTTCCCGTCAGTGCGATTAAATGATGGCCGCCCTCTTCTGTTTCTCTCACTCCAAATCTGTGACTAGTTGGGGACACGTTTCACGCGCTCGTCGGAACACCTAACTTATTTTACACCGTGGTCAGTACAGACACGTTAAGGCTCGCGTCTGGATCGGTTTCGCCCTATACTAAATACATTGAAAACATCGTCGTGGTTTCCGGAGTTGCATTTTAAAAATACGGGATATATCGCTTTAAAAAAATTATATTTCGAATTAACAAACTTGAGTCCAGGGGACCTCCATATTTATATTCATGTCTAGTCCGCAGTTTTTACAAAAAAAAATTATAAAGTTGACCAATTTTTACACCAGATTTAACCGGTACATTGATGCATTTTTTGAAGAAGTGCTGAAGTGATTTGCATTCTGAGATAGGAGGTCCCCTGGGGAAAAGTGTCAGCTTTCTTTTGATACCATTTATAATCCTAAAAAATTCACGACTGAGGTAAATAACTCTCGAAAAGACAGAATCTGTTGAAACGAGAAATCGCCATTAAACGCGCTATGATGCCGTAGTAGAATACAGGTTTACTTAGATTCTGGTTTGGTTGCAGACTTAATTTAATGTGGACCTTGTCCACCAGGGGGAGCTGTTTTTACTCAGCGATTTATCGGAATAAAATTTTGATATCGCATTTCCGATTTTACAATACCATTTCGGTTTTGAGAAGTGACAAAATAACGTATCCATCCAGTGGCGTAACAATCAAACTGCGGGCCTGTGTTCTACAACACTGTGGGACCCCTAATGAACAGCGAAATAAAAATATTTAACAATACGAGTATAATGAGTAAAGAATGAGTAGATTGCAATTAGCGCTAACGTTTTATTAAAATCATTCTACCTGAAACATTGAATTAAAAAAATAAAATACAATAATTACCTGAAGAAATATAATTAAAATATATACAATATTAGAAACTAGCCGACCCGCCAAACGTTGTTTTGGCATTTCTAGTGAATATTTTGGTACACAGTTAAATAAAAAATTAAATTAAAATAAATACATAAAAATTTATCGTACGACAATGATTATATTCAATGGTCATCTTGCAACCCTATTGCGCATCTGTGGATGAAAGCAAAGATACTCATATCGTTATTAAAAAATGGGGGTTGGTGGTAGAAGGGTCAAAATTTAGGGTTATATGTATTTTTTGATGGCAAATCTTAAAAAAATAAAAATAAAAAATGTCTAAAAAATAAAAAAAGTTTGGTGGGTCACCCTTATCACTTAGGGGTTTAAAAAATAGTTTACTAGACCTACCGAATATACACAAAAAAATTCATAAAAATCGGTCAAGGCGTTTCGGAGGAGATTGGTTACAAACACTGTGACACCAGAATTTTATATTAGATTATTTTAGAAAAAAATTCTTTACCATAAAAAAGGTTATACTGAGTCGACCTTAAAAGATTGACGTATGCTGTCGCGGACTTTTTTTTAGAACTTTTAGAAGGGAACAATTCCATCATACATGATTTTTATGTAACTTTAACCGTTTAATACGCAGCGTAAGCAACGGAAGCTGTCAAAGGACGAATAATTTTCCCGTTTTTCCGATATTTTTTCATTCTATAATAATTTCCCAGTCCAGTTTTTTTTCTACTTAAAAAATTAGTTGTAACATACGTCAGATATATTTTATTATTCCAAAAAAGCACCACAAGTACAAAATTAAAATAGTTTTGAAAATACGAAAATTTTCATAAAACACAACTGAAACTGATTTTTTTTTTCACGTTTTATTACAGCATGAAGTTTCACTGTAGAACTGAGGACAAAATTTAAGTATTTTGTTGTCTTGCATCATAAATTAGTCATACTTTTGTCGGATAAAGATTGGTAATTTACTACATGGGGTGTTAGATTTGCTACAATGGGATTGCGACACTGCGACAGGTTTATTACAAACAGATGCTGCTGCATTTTCGACCGCCGGTGCCTGTCGCTAAAACCCGAGTTTATTGAGTCTATGATATTGAATCTTTAGTTGATTGTTTATTTTTTTCAACATTTTCTACAATTTCAGAAATTATGGATTCAATAAACTTATGTGTTTTTTTACTGTTTGTACAATTTTTTGTACTAATTGCACGTTTTGTTTTTTTTTGCGTAGATAAAATTTGTCACGAGCCATTATTATAAAATAAGGTGTAACAACAAAAATATAGTGCAAATAATTTGTAAGTGGACGACCGAAACTATGTTTTAGGCAGACACTGACAAAGTGGTAGTAACATTGGCAACTGTTCCAAAACTGAGTTTTGCCGAAAAAAGGTACTTTACGTGCATTTCAAACAATTACATTCATAGGACTCTACCATTTCTACCAGCCAGATGTAAACAACCACCTACAATAAATTTAACAACTTTTGTTTGTCACCGGAAGTGGGACTGGTATTGCGGACTGAAATTATCCCTTGTACACGCTTTCGACTCCATTTGAGTAACAATTTTTTTCCGAATTTAAAATTACGTTCAAGCTGTTGTTCAAGCCTAAAATTTAAAATTAAATCTTTCCGAAACAGTATGACAAATATGTAGTGAACAAAAAATATTTACACCTTATACAAAAAAATGAGGTTTACGATGCGCAAGCATATGATATACGTAAAATTAAAAATGCAAGTCAAAGTTAATATGCATAAAAAATAGCAGCTGCTTCTATTAAAAATTTAAAATTAATTATTTAAATCCTTACAAAACGATATACTAACAAACAGTTTAAGCAAAGTCAAATTTTTAAACAAACTGCCTTCTGCCATGCAGTTAGCCGCCAAAATAATTAACATGAATATTTTAGTACTTACATAAAAAACCACCGTTGAATGCTTAGAATTACTTGCACACAACGTACTAATGATTTACGTTGAAGAAAGTAAAAAATTTTGCTATGTGGCTAATAGCTTCAAGGACACGTTATTATTCATTTTCAAACGATTGCGGCTAATAATTTTAACAATTTATTGTTATTTACTTGGTAAATATATTTTTATTTTTATTACTATTGTTTTGTTGCAAACGATAAAGTAAATAACAAAACCAAACTCTTATACATTATTAAGTTTAAGAAAAATTTTCCGCCAAAAATATTCTATTTGTAATGAATGGGCATGTCCGACAGTGCAGATAGTAGGAAAATAATAAAAATATTTACTTATACCGGAAATATTGTTAATTCTCTTATTTCAAGTTTGGCCTACAAATGTGGAAAATCCGTCCCGTTCGTAAATAGTACCTTGGCGCGACCAATTTTTGCTTTACATGATGTTCCTGTAATTCAGACAAACAACACATCCTTGATAGGAATAAATCACATATCTGCAGATAATTCCCCGACAGTAGGAGGTACTTTAATATTTACATATATTTAATATATTTACCGAAAACAATTTAAGTACGGAAACAAAATAAATAACTGGAAAGAATTAACTGTAGCCAAAATAGGAAAATGAATCAGTGAGTTTTACATCTTTCCGGTTTTGAACGGTCAAGGGTAAATTCAGGTACCCGGGTTTTGTTTGCAACTATTATGGCTAGACAGGCACTGCGGCTTGTGTACTAAAACTTATTTCCGTACAGTAAAATGTAGAATTCTACGGATCGGTGCTGCATTTATTCACATTTTAGCAATTCACTAACAGGAGGCAGCATCTCCCGGGTCGTTTTATTCTCACTTTGACCAGGCAGATATTTTGGCTCCAGACGGCACCCTTAAGGAACCCCTTCTAGCCTAAATGTAACGGAAAATAAAATGTATTTGTTTTTTAATTTGGTTAATACAAAAATACGATTTCGTCTGCGACTGACAGTTTGTTGACATATATGATCTCGAGATTGCGCAAAATGCGAAATTGGCAATTTCCGGGCGTTCCAGTAATTTATGACCTAAGTTTTGTTTGCATTATCGTTTCTTATTCCCATTTTGCTTTTGTGATCGTTCGATAATTTCAAAAGTGTACCGCAAACTTTTAAAATTAACAAAAATATAAAATTCGCAAAATGAAATTTTATCATTTTCGAAAATGCTGGATATGTTTCATTGTACTTCAGGATCGAGGAAAGTTCTGTCGAAACAATTTCGACAATTTTTTTACCTACCTTGCTACACAGTGCGCAGCAGTAATGACGTATTCATTCTTAATGAGGGTGCCACCACAAAGATGATTATTATTTTCGCCTCTTAAAGACACTACGTAAGGAAATTTTTCTTTGTTACCCTCGACACCACCAACAATTCTGAACTTAACTTCGTCGTGGGTGTGGATACGAGGAAAAACTGGAAGTGTATTGTAAGCAACGAACGAGTTTCAATTTTTGCTCCTTACCCAAAGAATAGGTTACTACACAAGTGAACAAGAAAGCGAAAATATCTGTTGCGTTCATTTTTACTGTAAATATTATTCTCGAAAGAACTGTTTTATATGGATAAGCAACAAACATTTGCTGCTACTCCGACCGATAGTGTTGTAGTGCTCAAGAAATTTACACACTTAGTGACTATTTTGCATTGGTAAATTTAAAGTAATTCAAATAGGGTGAATAAATGGGTTATGTTATTATAATCACATGTATATTAACAAATAACCAACTAAACTAAAACGTTTGGTGAAATACAATTACAAATGTTACTTAAGTATTTATTTACATGCAAGATATTAGATTAATAATAACAATCGTATCTTCACTTTTGCTTTTTTTAAAAACTTGTTTAAAGTGCCTGCCACTTTTGCTTTTCAATTGTCATTTATTCGTGTGGTTTAATCACCGACATTCTACATCCTTCCCAAAGATGACTTGACTACAAATTATGTTCTTTATTGAAAAGTTAACTTCAGTAATCCCTGAATTGCACCAAACGCCACTGACGTTCAGACTGCATGGTCGGCCAGCCAAATTTATCGCCTGACGTCGCTCCGTCGTTTTAAATATTTGTCTGATTGATTCACCATCACTTCGACTGTGCCTTGGTTTGTAATAATTCTACCGAAGCGAAACCAAACTTGTTTCGTTTCTCTGTTATTTGCTTTATTTTTTTAAAGTTATTGCAGCACAAGAATCAGTGTATTCTTAACAAAATCAGATGTATTCGAGATGGTCAATGATTTACACAAGAGAGCGAAACGAGCGTGTGGAATTAAAAAAAAACGTGCTTAACTACCTATTAACCAAGGTGTTAACTAGTTACAATATCTTTCCAAGATCGAAATCTTTAAATTAGAAAATAAAAATATGGTTATGCAACCAAATATACATTCCTCCGTGTCCCATTCTCCCATTTAAAAGTACAAAATTGACACCTTAAAATTAAAACAAAACAAAAAATGTGTTTGTGTGAGATAAGGAAAGACAATTTATTAAAAAAATACAACTTGAACATCCATGAATGTATAGTGCGTTCAGTCAGTAGGTACACATTTGACCTAACGTCAAGCCAGCGTTTTCCGTTTAGATGAAGTAACTCATAATAAAAAACGTAATAAAATTTAATCAAGCAACATTATACGACCCTGTGGTGACCGAATTTAAATCAAAGTTTTCGCGCTGAAATTAATTAACAGCGGCGCGAAATCACACTTGAATAATTTGAATTTGAAAGAAAAAAAAAATTCAATCACAAAAAGGAAATCGTTAAACATAGACAACCAAAAATGCACGTAGCGCTTAGGGGTAGTTTTGCATGATTATTGAGTTACATGACGGCTTGGTATCGCTAAGGAGTTTTTAATTACAGGGTTGATTGATTGGTAGAGACAGAAACTGCATGGCATAGATTCATTCTGGATGTGCTTGTGTGAGTGTAACCACGTGGTAAGCGCTTAAATTAGTTGGTTTGGTAGTTAATAAAACGGGAGGAAGCCTTTGCTTAACGACAATCAATCGTAACTGACGTCACTCTGTTGTCCCCAACCCGCACGGTTAATTCTTGCAGCCTTTTAATCGGAGAAATGTGGACTTCCGGTCAACGCGAAACACGTGCTGTAAATTTGTTTCATTGTTTGTAAATTCACCAATCAAGTTAGTTTTTCTTAATAGTCAGCTAGGGCAAACACAGTTTAACAATCAGCATTATTTAAATAAACCACTAGCTAGAAGATTTCATGAAATTCACTTAGTCAGGAAAAACACCTTGTTTAGTTACGAATAGGTTTCTGGATGCATATACGTAAGTGCTACATTATAACACTTCTAAATTCTTCACACAAGATTGCTCATAGTTCATTTACGGCAGTTAATGTTTTCTTCCCTAAGGCGGTTATCATCGTTATTATCATTTATCAACGCCACAGATTGATTAATTCATCGAGGCATGCCATCACAACGCTACAGATTGATTATTTATCAAGGCATGCCCTCCCAACGATTTAAAATTTACATCACCGAGACGCTTTTTCCTCGCAACGATTTTAAAATTTACATCACCGAGACGATTTTTCCCTCGGAGCGATGATTGGATATTTTTGTGTTTGTTTATTATGTGTTTTGTTAGGGTAACCAGTTCGCGGTATTTTAAACTCTCAAAGTAGATTGTTTTTTTTTTAAGTAACCAATCACTTGGATATAATTTAACACATTGTAAACTCTTTGAACCGTTGATAAAGTGTGGCAAATACCAATCTCCTGTAAATTTTGTTAACTTCCAATTTTTCGCCTCATACAATATTTCTCAATCTCACAGTTTTAACATCAGTAGTTTTATTTGTTGTATAATTTTAATTATTATGGATAGATTCAGGGGCGGCCGCCGATGTTGTAAAGTTCTCGGTTTCTGTCCATAGCCGAGATCCTCTTGCGGGTCTGGTGACCGTAATGGCCTAGTTCCGCAGGGCACGTTTGTAATGGAGATATGCATGTGGGGTAGGCTTTGTGATAGATAGAATCACCGTCGTGGGGGGAGAACAGCCCCAGACCGGTAGCCCCAAACTCCTCTTATGCTACAACGCCCCAGGGGTACTTTTGTTGTGCTCCTGTTAACTGCCGTAACTTAAAAAAAAGATCTGCCGCCACACACCTGTAATACCTTGTGTATTTGCATCCAGTTACTTAATTCAGATTTTACTTTGTTTTTATTAAATTTGTGATATTCAAATATTTGCATTGATTCCAAACAGATCTATAGAATTTTCTGTTTGTTCGTTTTTCATATGTGTATGTCTGTCAATTCGCGGGTGTTTTCTTTCATATATCTTGAGGTGTTTGAAATGTAATATTTCGGTGAATAAAATCCTAGAGGGTTTTGGGGAATGAAGACCTATGACGCTTTGGCCCTGCGGAGTCACCAGAAGGGCACGCTGAGTCCCTTTCCCTCTTCGTTTCTTTTCCTCCTAAGGAAGGGTCCCATTGTGGCCCCTCCCTAAATTTTGTCTATAATTTCTTGCGCTCTCAACTCACATGCAGTGTATGCACTTGTACGAAAGAACGTCTTCCCGCCATTTTTCAAAACCAAAAAAAAAAACGCACACAACGTAGGTTCCTATTTGTCAGACGATCACAGCCAAGGCCAAACTTTGAATTTTTAAATTTTTCGCGAGCCTTTCAAACTTTTTCAAGGTCAATTTAAAGGCGGGAAGTTTGGGTTATTACAACCCTAAAACCTTTTCTATTGTAAACAACTTAACTGTTAATTTATGTGCGTATTTAAAGTGCGAAAAATAAAAGGCCAACGATGTTAACACTAGCGAAGGTATTTATTAACTGACTTAGATATGTACAATATGTGAAAACTAACTTAGTAAAAAAGGTCTCGACATCTGGACGTCGATTTGCCGTGAAACGCCGACAAAGACAAAATGGTCCAGACTTTCAACCACACAAGTGTCGTACCGGTACTGGGCCAGAGCGTATCTAATTCTGACATATTGCAACACTCCCACTCGCTCTGGTCAGATGAACTAAATAAACAAACACAAGAAAAATTAGAACACACAAATAAAATAATACTTAAGAGAATAAGTCTTAAACTGAATGTAAATTCAACAATTTTAAATTATTGGCAAATTTATCACGGCTTAGCGGTTTCGTAAACATATCCGCCAGTTGTTCCGTTGTCCCAACGTGGTTGATATCAATCTCTCCCCGTTGATAGGCGTCACGTGTGTAGTGGAACTTGACGTCGATGTGTTTGGTGCGTCGATGGTGAACAGGGTTTCGCACCAAATGTTCAGCAGTTTGCTTTAAGTGTAGCGTTTTTGTCCCACGATCGCGCACTATTTGCATACAGTTTGCCACGTCACCGGTTACTTCAAAATTCAGTTTTGGTTTGTTTATGAAACTGTTGACACGTTCCACGGAACGACCGATTACCAGATCATCATCCACGTACAGCGCGAAATAAAGTTCGTTATTGTCAGACGCGTACACACACCGGTCAAACCGAGTAGGGTTCATGCCGAATTCTTTTAGCACTCCGTCCATTTTCTCATGAAACACTAACGGTGCCTGTTTCAGTCCGTATAAACTTTTGTTTAGTTTACACACACGGCCACTACCGTCGTCAAAACCGTCCGGTTGCACCATATATATTTCCTCTTTTAGTTCACTATAAAGGAAAGCAGTTTTTACGTCAATCTGAAAGAGTTCATAATCTTTGGCCGTCGCGATGGCCAACAATACACGCACTGATTCGAACCGTGCAACGGGTGAAAACGTTTCCGCGTAGTCGATGCCCGCTTTTTGCGAACATCCCTTAATGACCAACCGTGCCTTGTATTTATTGATGCTGCCGTCCGGATTGGTTTTAATCTTGAATATCCATTTATTTTGGATTGGTCGTCTGTTCGCTGGAAGCTCCACCAATTCCCAAACTTCATTTTTGGCTAAAGACTCCAATTCATCAGCCATTGCAAGCTCCCACTGTTTCGAATCATTCGTGGCTAACGCTTCTGCGAGAGTTTCAGGTGTTTTAGTCACTAGTTTCTCACCTTCAGTCAGGAGGGCTGCAAATTGAACTTCGGTCATTTCATCTTTTTCTTCCATCCTTTTCTTCGTCTTAGACCGGGTGTTGTTTACGATGGAGTTTTCATCTGAAGGTACCACGCGTTTCGAGTACGCCGCTCGTGTTGGTGTTGATTGTTCTTCATTTGTACCGATTTCAGGTAACAATTGAAGCGGTCTTTTTGGTGGTAATTCGACAATTTTTACGTCACGACTCTTAATAATTACTTTTGTACCTGGCCGCCAAAGTCGATATGCGTGTTGCTCAAATTCATATCCAACTAAGATGAGCCGTTCGCTCTTCTTTTCAAATTTGCTCCGTTTCGACTCGTCAATTAATGCATATGCAGTACTACCAATTTTACGCAAATGACTCAAATCAGGCTTTCGACCGGTCCAGAGTTCGTAGGGGGTTTTCCCTTCGAGACGGGCACGTGGTATTCTATTTCTAATGTGAGCCCCGTTTCTAATCATTTCCGCCCATAGTCCTTGGGGCAGGTTTCCGCTTGCAAGTTGACACCACACCATTTCATTTAATGTCCTGTTAGATCGTTCGGCCCGCCCATTCTGTTGTGGACAGTACGGTGTGGTCAGTTCTTGTTTAATAAATTTCTTGGTTAACACCGCCTTCATTTCACTGCCCAAAAATTCACCCCCATTGTCCGATCGCACGCGTTTTATTTTATGTCCATTCGCTTCTGCATCAGCTATTACACTAATCATCGCGTCGACGACGTCGGACTTTGTTTTCATTGGAACTGCGATGATCGTACCACTGCAATCATCTGTAAATACAGCTGCGAACCGCGAACCACCTAACGATTCATTCAATGGTCCGATCGTGTCAAAATGCATTAGATCTCCTGGCCGTTCAGCCCGCGAATTTGAGGACGGGAACGGTTGTCGCACGTGCTTGCCGTATACACAGTCTTCACAAAATGTGTCCTCATTGTCCGCACTATCTTTCGAGTCCATAACTTTCATGCCAGTTATCGCGTCACTTTTGGCCATTTCGCGAACCACTTTAAATGCAACATGTCCAAGCCGTTCATGCCACACTCGAACGTTTTGAGCACTTGCACTTGCGATCATAGCCTCTGCCGTTGCCCGCGCGCGAATATTCATTTCGAATAAACCGTTTTTAGCCAATTGTCCGGTGGCTACCACTTTGCCACGACTAAACAATTGTAACGTGTGTTTGCTGAATAATGCGTTAACACCATGATTACTAGCTGCACTTATTGAGAACAGATTTTTCCCAATTTCAGGCACGTACCACACTTCACTCATGCCTTGCTCCAGTGCTTGTCCATTAACGTACGAAGTAATCATTACATCTCCTTCACCTTCCGCGTAAATAGTTTCATTGTTGCCCACTGTGATCGGTTTTCTCTCACTTGCACTAAACTCCCTATAATTTGTAATAATGTCGCGCCGAAAAGTCATGTGTTTACTCGCACCAGAATCCGCGACCCATAATTCGCCCGCGTTACCGACAGCCATCGTTTCGGCTGTATACATCATCGCACTCGATGCGCCGCTGTTTGATGCTGTATTCGCTTGGCCATTGTTTTGAGTGTTTTGGGGTTTGTAGCAGTCGATCTTTCTATGTCCCGTTTTACCGCAATTATAACACTTCCCACTAAATCGCTGTTTTGTAAATTGCTGTCGCTGCTGATTTTGATAACGACCACCTCTATTTCTTTGATAATTTTGGCGTTGTCCCCGATTGCCGTTGCTTGTGTAAAGGGCTGAGTTGTCTTCTTCGTCGTTTTTAATCTCGACCATTCCATTTCTCATTGTTTCCGGCTTTAATAACCGAGGAAGAAGGTTGACCATGGTTTGCTCTTTTTCTGGAAGCATATCAAAAGCCGCTGCTATATGCTGATACTGCTGTGGTAATGTGTACAGTACTTTGGTGATTATTTGTTCATCGGTGGGTTTCTGATTCAGATCTTCCAGCTGTCTCACCAGCTCTTCGATAGCAGCAACATGTTCAGTAATTGTTGCGCCTGGTCCCATTTGATAATTATAAAATTTTTGGTGTAAAATATGAATCGACGTCTTGTTCTTTTGTTCGTAAATAGTCACCAGTCGTGTCCACATTTCAGCTGCAGTCTTCATATTCATTATATGACGCACAACATTCGTCTCTAGAGCGCACGATAACGCAAATTGAGCTTTCTCGTCTTTTCTGTCCCATTCTTCTTGTTCCTTGGACGTACCTCCCGAATCAGGGCGAGCTTTCATACCTTCGACAACGTCTAACAATTCGTGATACCGCAGATAGGCGCGCATTTGAAACTTCCATACTGCAAAATCGTTGCCGTTAAACTTAGCTATCGCGAACTTATCCATTTTCGATGTGTCTGCTACTATTGGCCGCGAAACCGAACTTGAACACTGACCAACTACAAATCACAACTTCGAATAGGAACTAATCGCTGATATTCCACTAATTGCACTTTTTCAAAATACTAATTGCACAATACTCGATACGTAATCTGGGCCCATAACCTGTTAATTTATGTGCGTATTTAAAGTGCGAAAAATAAAAGGCCAACGATGTTAACACTAGCGAAGGTATTTATTAACTGACTTAGATATGTACAATATGTGAAAACTAACTTAGTAAAAAAGGTCTCGACATCTGGACGTCGATTTGCCGTGAAACGCCGACAAAGACAAAAGGGTCCAGACTTTCAACCACACAAGTGTCGCACCGGTACTGGGCCAGAGCGTATCTAATTCTGACATATTGCAACATTAACATCGACAGAATGGGATAATTTTAAGATGGCCATATAACCTTATAGCTTTTGGTTTACTATACATTAACTGAAGCTTTAAATTTAAACTAATGCAAATTTTTGCAATAAACGGACTTGCTGTGATGCGTTCGATGCACAAATGGACTGTACGTTTAACGCCAAACCTCGCCGGTGTGCGGTCATGAAATGTTGCTTGGTTTTTGTAAATATTGTCCTCATCTATTTTCCTACCTGTTAAAAGACTGTAAAAATGTATTTTAAGTATAATCAAAGTAAAAGTTCACTTGTGCATTCTTATAGTCGTTTCATATTTATTGTGTAACTACATCAAATTCGACTAATGAAACAAACTAATTTATTGATTGGATTGATTTATTATTGAATCAATCCAATCGTTGTAGAAACTGATGGCTGTGTAAGCGTCAGGTTTCCCTGTAGCGCAACGTTTGCCGAAAGACACCACTCCTGTTAACTTATTGTCACATATTAGAGGTCCTCCTGAATCCCCACGACACACCGCGTCTCCTGTGCTATTGGTGCAGATTAGATGTGGATAATATGCCCTTTTCCATTCTTCTTCGCACTTTTTCGGTTTCACAGGCTGCACCACCGCTATTTTGAATATATTCGATGATGGTGGTTGTGGTTTAGTCCAACCCCAGCCCATCGCGTAGCACGGATTTTCGTAATCCGAGAAATTGGTTCGCAATCTAACAGGAAATGAAGAGTTATAACTCGTTTGTTTGTCTATTTGCAGTACAGCTATATCATGTACGAGCGTACGCTTATCGTAGTCTGGGTGCACATGTCCGTAGAGTGATCTGGCACGGGTTTCAACTTTGTCCAGGTAGGTGCTGCCAATAATCACGGAATCTGTCATTTCACTGGAAATTATTACTGGAGTTAGCAAGAACGAGTTAATAAAAATATCGATTTCTATCAACAATTTGATGACGTTACCTCAAAATTTTATATGGTAAATGCTATTCACATTTTATCAAATAACATACTTTTGTACTTGTGGATATTTGTGGTGTATGAATCCGCCTTCATTATTTACCCTAGACATTCAGATTTTCGCAAAAAAATTAAGTTGCATATCGCTCTAGAGCATCACTTCAAGTTGTGTTTGTACTATTGCAAACAGAGATATGTAAAAGACAGATGCGGTTATAGCTTTCCCGATCTAGGGCCAACATCTATGATCTAAGAGTAGCAATACTTTGTGTCGCCTATCCTTTTCTATATCAGCACCAGTACTATGGATTGCCAAGTGTAGGCTACATCGATCACTCTCTAAAAGGTGGTTGTCTTGTTATTGGCCCGTTCTGATGGCGGCAATTATAAATAATCATAACCACTCACAGTCTGATTGGTCTGACAGGGACCGGCACAAACACAAGAACGGCATCAACGACAAACGTTGCGCCAACTGATTGGTTGCGCCGTACAGAGCGAGACCTTCAGATATCGGGTTACCATTGTACGTGTTAGAGAAAAAGAGGGAGATATAAACGTACAGTGACATCTTGGGCTTAAACGTATGTCCACGAGAACATTAAATATCTGTATCTAGTCTTTTACATATCTCTGATTGCAAACCATCTACATAACACTACCAAAATTTAAAAATTATACAAATATGACACATCACTGAATTTAGGACAAAATACTCTTGTTAGTTTACTTTATATCGCCATTTATAGACCAGGAAAAGCCTAGGAAGTCCTGAGATAATCTCCAAAAAGATTAAAAAAACATATTTGAAGTTGAATAAATTTCAGCCACTACTCAAGCTAAGAATTTGAAAAAAATGCATATTATAGACCAAGTTTAACGATTTTCTAATCACTAAACTAGTTCTTTACTTATGCTTTATTCTGTGCATTTCTGTTTCTAATTAAGATAAAAACACTTACCTAGTGACGTCTATTCATAGATTTAGATAAGTTACCAAAGTTAAATAGGTAATTTTAATTGTAAACTTTTATTTTTCCACATTAACTTTTGACGTTCAAAAAGCAAATTAACCCACAAATAAAACCATGTCCTTCTCATACGACCTATGTAATTAACTCCACTCAAAAATTTTACAGATGATGTCACCATTAATTTGATGACGTCACTTCAAAATTTAGTCCCCCACTAGTTTTATATATGTGTCTACCTCTAAAAAACAAAATTCGATTTTCGAACACATACATAAATTTAGTATAAAATTTTATGCTATTTTTTTTATTATTGTAATTCATCTGTTCATTCTTGCCAACAATTTCATGGGGCAAATAAAAATATTTGCCGGAATGAACAGAATATTTTGTTCAATTGCGGCTTATTCACAATTTTAGTCATCTTTTTTGAGGCGATAAACTCATTCAAATTAAACAAATGTCTACATAAACATTTTAAACACTACGCATATTGCTGAGACCACTTTTCCCGTTAATAATGTGTTGTAAATATATTTTACAATGTCCGTACCTGTGCAGAGACGACTTATGCGGATATACTTGTGATGCTGGAGCATCAGGTCCCCAAAATTAAGGGACCCCTTCTGACCTAAATGTAACGGAAAATAAAATTTATTTGTTTTTAATTTGGTTATTACAAAAATATGATCTCGTCTACAACTGACCTTTTGTTGACACATACAGCCCCGTAGCTACTACTATTTTCTTACAGGGTATGTTATTTGGCAATATATACGAATTTTTAGATGCAGTACAGCTGTTTGTGAATCTACATTCTCTGAATAGATCGCAATGACGCATCAAAGATTGGCAAACTTGGTTTTTCTGGCGTTTCAAAAGTACCGTACCAATTCTTTGGACTTGGACAGGTTTTTACCAAAATTTAATAGCGGAAAAACGACGTTTGCAACTGTTTTAATGAAAAAATAAAGCAGTTTTCTGAGTGTATTATTGATATATACAGGGTGTCTCAGAAATAAGTACATTAATTTTAATCAGTCATAGAGCTCATCGAACTCAACAACTTTTTTTAATAGAGTTTGTCAAGAACTTTTTAATTATCAAGTTAAAAATTGTTAAAGTTTTATCCCACTCAAGGTTACCCACCCATGGATCCTCAGTCATCCACTAATAACTATTAGTCAACAACTTAAATACTCCTTTAATAAAAATGTGTGCACTGAATGCAGTTTTTTATGTAGATTTCAAATCTGCTCTCCAAATTTTTCCATCACGCCACATTTTTGTGCTACACGTAATTTTATATCGTAAAATTGCCATTTTTCACATAAAACGTGCATCTGTACTGCCCTTATTACACGAGTTGAAAAAATCGGATTTGATGATTTATTAGTCAAGTAGGCATGTGTCACAATTTAAATGACATTTAGAAGTTACGTCAAAATTCTTGTTGTGTGTAATTTTGCAAAATGAGTGTAATACTAAAAAAATATCGCACTTACAACTGGTTTCAGAAAAAACGGGACAAGATGAGTAAATCAGGTGCTCATAGATCGAAAAGCAATGGGAAAAGACGATTACAGAAAATGTTACGAATTTTCCAAGGAATGAAGCTGAAAATGTCTTTTGGAGGCAAAAATCTAAAAAAATCCCTGTTGTTTTCGAAAATGTTTAAAAAATTGTAGAAAACCTTGTAGTGAAAATTTGGATTTTGAAAAATTTGCTTAAAAATTCTCAAAAATTCCATAACGAATATTTCGAGGAACTGAATAGAAAAACATAGTGGGTTGATGACCTGGGAATAATAATTTAAAAAAATTCACTTTCAAAGACAAAATTTTTAAGAAAATTCTAAAAATCGTTGAATTCATTAGGCGATTACAGAAAATGTTACGAATTTTTCAAGAACTGAAGCTGAAAATAACTTTTGGAAGTTAAAATGTAACCCAAAATCTCGAAAATGGTCAAAAAAATTCTACAATTCTGTATTTAAAATTTGGATTTTGAAAAAATTTCTTAAAAATCCACAAAAATTTCTGAACAATAGAACTCGACGACCTGAATCGAAAAACATATTGGTGGTTTGATGAACTGGGAATATCATCTTCAAAAAATTCACTTTCAAAGTCAAAATTTTTAAGAAAATTCTGAAAATGGTAAAATTCATTTGACGATTCTGGAAAATGTTACTGCGCACGTTTGGCAGACGACAATTTGGGAGGCTTTCTGAAAACATTCTTAGGGCGCGGGTGCCGTTTCCCCGAGTTTCACCGTACCTTAAAACGATGTCGGTGCATTCCAGATTTGAAAATAAAACCATTTCAACACATTTCGGCTATAAATTAGAAATCTGTGCCAAACAAACTTTAAAGAGACAACGTTTAATAATATACACTTGACATAAAAATGATCGTCAGTGTCAAAACGGTTGGTAGGGTACCTACCTTTTTCATTGTTGTAGTGTTGTTATTATTTAAGTTATTATTTAAGGTGAACATAGACGGCTCGTGAATATATGAGTGGGAAAATTCGAAATTCGACTTGAATTTTCGAAAAAATGCTATATAAAAAAGTTGTTCCGTTTCACGAGTCCTGCCACTGGTTAAAATTAATGTACTTATTTCTGAGACACCCTGTATATTTACATGAAGCCCCCTCTGTCGACAAACTTGCCCCCCCTGAATAAGTGTTCTAGCTACGGGGCTGGACACATATGATTTCGAGATTGTGCATAAAGTGGTGCCTCCTAAGTTTTGTTTGTAATATCGTTTTTCATTCTTATTTTGCTTTTTTCATCGATTTGTAACACACACTTTTGAAATTATTAAAAATATTTACAAAATTCGCAAAATCAAATTTTATAATTTTTCGAAAATGTGGAAACAACTTTCGACTAAGTTTTGTTAAAATACCTACCCTGTTGCACAGTGCGCAGCAGTAACGACGTACTCATCATTAATCATCGACCCACCACAAATATGGCGATCATCTATATCTCTTAGAGACACTACGTAAGGAAACTTTTCTATGTTACCCTCGGTGCCACCAACAATTCTGAACTTAACTTCGTCGTCGGTGTAGATACGAGGAAAAGCTGGAAGTATATTGTAAGCAAGGAACGAGTTTCAATTTTTTCTCCTTACCCAAGGAATAGATTATTACACAAGTGAAAAAGTAAGCGAAAATACCTGTTTCGTTCATTTTTATTATAAATATTATTATAGGATAAACTGTTTTATCTGGATAAGCAACAAACAATTGCTGCTACTACGACCGATAGTGTTGTAGTGCAGCTAGTGCTCAAGAAGTTTATATAGTTGGTGACTATTTTGCATTGATAAATGTAAAGTCATTCAAGTATCCTGAATAAATAGGTTCTAGCACCCCATAAAGATAGTGTATCTTTCATTTCTATTAAAATCACATGAATATTAACCTATAACCAACTAAACTAAAACGTGTGGTGAAATAAAATTGCAAATATTACTTTATTTATTTGATAAGTATCTATTTACATGCAAAATATCAAATTAATTATAATAATTGTATTTTCACACTTACTTTATTGAAAATCTTGTTTAAAGTGCCCGCCATTTTTGCTTTTCAATTGTCATTCTTTGACATTTATCAGTGTGGTTTAATCACCGACATTCTGATTCCTTTCCAAAGATAACTCGATTACAAATTATAAAATATAGCCCCTACAAGCGATGCAGCAACCCTAATGTTAATTTACATTAGTTTATTATACACCGGTTTGAAAACGAATTGACCCTATAAGACGATCCGCCCCCGAGTAGGTACCTGAAAGATGATTTACGACAGGGTTATCTATACTAGGCCCAGAAGACTGGAAGTAATCAATATTGCAGTGCCATAAACACGGAATAACACTTGGAAATGTACAAAATAAAACATGAACTATGTATTCAAAGTTTCCAGCTCTGCC